AGACAAAAATTTTTGAGGCGAAATACCCAAAAGAAGTTTGTAAAAAAAAAAAATTGGTCTATTTCAGTTGCTCTGAGTGATTCGATAATTAAAATTTAAGTGAAACAATTTTTTTTATAAAAAATGGAATCTAGACTGGAATCTAGTCAATATAAAACAGACACAAATAAATCTCTTTTTTAACTGAAACTATTCGAAATCGAGTGTCAGCGAGCAGTTTATTGCGCTTGTATCGCATTTGAATGTTGACTGTTAGCCAGCATAATGGACAGATTTCTCGTATTTTGCATTAGTCTCGTTTTAATGTTATTGTGTCAAACTACTCGGATTCGGTCAGGTAAGGACAGCAAAATTAAAATTAGTGTAAATTATCACTTTCATCTATCTCTAACACCAACTTGGATCAGTTGCTGATATTTCCGCTCAATGTATGAATCGCTTTAATTGTTTGTCTTAAAAGGTATCGTGCTCTTTGGGTCGATATGCTGATCTTTACCTTTTGGCAGGACTTATTTATGTTATGCGTGTGATAACTTACTGGTATGCGGTCTGGGATCCGAAGCTACATAGCTTAGAGCCTACGAGTTTTCTGATCTGTGGCCTAGACGCATCTAAAAGCCAGATGGAACGTGAACTTGAAGAAGAAGACAGCTTACAGTCAATGGAAATTGTTCTTTGAACTTCTCGACACGCTGCTACTGCTTTATCATCACAATATTAGCTGACCTGACTTAGTCCACCAAGCTCAGCATCCCATTTGTACATAAATGCATCGACCCCCCAAAGACGCAAAACAATTCCACCACCAGAAAAAGCTGAAACGAGTTTTGCAACTTCACTTCACTTTAACCATTATATAACGTTATATTCTTATATAACTTTATATAACGTGTGCCTAAATGATTTTCAGTTGTTTTCTCACTCAATGGTAAGTAATAATTCCACACAATACAAGTGGACCGTCTTAGTAGTTTAATTTAGTTTGATTTAAGGTATTTAGTACTGACTCATAACATTTTTCCTTGGAGCATGTTAATCGGCGGATTATTCCATTTTCGAGAAATTATAACATGACATTCTTTGAGTTTGATGTTATAACACTGGGTGAATGTAATATTTTAGGTAAAAACCTCAAAAACCTGTTCTATTATATTACATGTAGGGAACAGGTTTTTTACTTTTTAACTATGTTTGTGGAAATGTTGCTCTTGAAATTTCACTGATCAAATTCAAGGGCCAACATGTTTCTGCATCACTGTCATGGCAATAGTCACAACTATGTTTATTTAATCAATAAAAATGTAATTATACTTATTATAAATTGCGTTATACGTTAGCGCTGCTAAAGTAGTTTCTAGTCCAATAATATTTATACTTTTCATACAGAATTTCTTCAATACATCAGCGATATTAAACACATTTTAATTAGCCTACATTTTTCTTTCATATCATTCTGTCTTCGGTACTTCGGTTTTTTTTTGACCAAACAGAACGCTAACGATGTGTACTTTTTGCAGGCACAACAAATATTTGATGTTTGACGATTGATTAGAAGCAGTATCATTTACTTAATAAATCAGAAGTACCAAGGATGCAAAAATAAAGCTAATTGAAATTCCTTTACATACGTTTATTAGTAATCATTAAAATGTTTGAACTTGTGGTTCAAAAATATAAAACAAAATAACAGTTGAGGTCAAAGATTATCCCGCAGTATCACTCTGGACAAATAGCACCATCAAGGGGTAGATCTTCTCGCTTTTTTCTCCTCTCGCATTTGCGACATGGTTTAGAAGAATTGAGGCAATTCTTATGATACACGGCATTACACAAATCACACTAAAAAGGCCACTCTTAATATGTGCTCTAGTGGAAAAACGTCCGTATAACAAATATATCAGATGTATACTTACTCGGAAAACATTTTCGACATCGAATGGAAATAAGGACTTTGGATTATTGCAAACTTCGCAAACAAACCCCTTCTGGCTGCAAAGCCAACAGCTAAATACGTGGTCTCTGCCAAATTTTACAACTTTCTGCAGCTGTGAAGCCAATGTACCACTTTGAATGTCATGAAGGTCCTAAAATTGCAACTTAATAGAATAATTATGGATGAGATAAAACAGAAAAACTTGCTATAAAAGAACCTGGAATACGCTTTCGATACAACCCGTAAAAGTACATAAAGGATCTGTTTAAAAGTATAGAACTTTACACTGAAATGAAGCTCACTAAAATCATTTTAACGTTATGGTACTGGCTTTATATTGAAAAGGCAATTGTATGCCATTATAGATTAACTATGCTTTTTGGGTATAATGCGCCGCAGCTGGGTCGAATGAAGAGCAATCTGGAAGTTCAATTTTCGACCACTTCCAAACTTCTTCCAGCCATAAAGTAAGTTTTTCTGTATATAACGGGGTCTCAATAATGGCTTCTAGATGTTCGTCGCTCCAAATCCAGCAATTTTCTGTATTTACGCAACCATTGAGCCGAAAACGATTATGTCGACCGTAAAATGAACGTAGGGCACGGTGAGTTTAGCGAACTGAACAGGGATTTTCGAAATAAATTGCTGAATTTGGAGCAACAAAAATCCAAAGTCCGAGACGCCGTTTTATCCAGCAAAACTCACTGCTTGATGCGCTTTTTTATGGCCTAGTGGAATCAAAGTGGTCGAAAATTGGATTATTTCGTGGATTGCTATTCATTCGAGCCAGCGGTGGCGCCCATATTCCCCAAATCATATTTAAGCTATAATGACTGGGTGGATTTTCGATACATCATTTTCATCGGAAAGAGACAAGGAATGCAACGAGCTAATTAAAAGACACCGGAGCCTTTCCAGTTCCCAAATAATGAACATTTTCAACGGACGATATCTTCCTTATTTTCGACCCACAACTTTCATGTTCGCTATTGGGCAACTTCTTAGCTCGGAAACAATCCAATAAGGGCAAAAAACACGTTTAACGAAATTTTGATTTTTGGTCGAAAAGTAAGAGGTCGATTTTTTCAAAAATTCAAGTTTCTCAAAATACCTCGACTGCTACATCATTTTCATCGGAAAGAGACAAGGAATGCAACGAGCTGAAAGACACCGGGGCCTTTCCAGTGTTTATTCAATTTTCAATAAATCCAGTACCATGAGTTTAATTTCAATTTAACGTTCTATATATCTAAAAAAGACCCTTTAGAGAGTCTTAGTAGAGTACGCTTTGTATTTTTATTAAAGCTCTAAACTTACGGTTATTGAATATTGATGAATATGCTCATACATATACTCTCTGGGCCACATTTGCTTTTGTAGTTGTTCTATAATAGGTTCTCGACAAGTGTATAAATACGCTCGCAAAAAGTTCAGTTGATTTCTTAGAACTTGCAGTTCAGCCATTTCTTCGACAGCCCCATAAATATACGGATTTAGAGACTGGAACACAAAACAATAAATCGTGCAATGCGCGATATAGAGAGTCTGGTGAGTATCTATATGTTCAATTATAACTTAACGATGAGAACAAGAACAAAAATTAAGTATTAATTAAGCGTGGAAAATGATTTCATTTAAGTTATACTTTTTAAGGCATGTCTGTCTAAACTTTGTCCTTCAAAGCGCCCGAAAGGAAGATGCATGGGCTTATTTACGACGATGTGTGTGTTTTCGGTGCCCCAAATTCTAGATTTTTTGCTTGAAAATACGGCTGATCCCAAAAGATTACTAGTCTAAAAACCTATTTCCCTAAAGTAGGTTTTAAGTATTTCAAAACGTTGATCCAAATGGAAACAATTTATCGTTCCAGTTGAAGCTAAACAACATTAATGTCGACAGTGTCAATAATACCTCGTAGTTTAAAATTCGACATAGATGGCCCACCCTTTACAACCACTCACTTTAAAATCTATCACAGGGTAGTCCTTTACTTCATTGAGGTAATTGAAGCTCTTTTGAGACACCGGATAAACTTTAAAATCCCAGTTGTGTATCATTCTGGCGGGAATGGTGACTTCCTCAACGCTCATGCACGCGTTGCAGAAATATTCTCCTGTATAGTGACAGACCCTAGAAAAGTTCTGTTAAAACGAAACAAATCAAGATAAGAACTTACTTGTAATTCTGTTCATCCAAACAAGACTTGCAACCAGCGCATTCAAAATTCTGCACATCGAGTCCCCTTTCACCAGCAATTTTGAAAACTTGAGAGGCCAAAGATGTTGTTTCAGATCTAACTGGACTTGAGCTGGCCGAAACTGAACTCTTAAAGGTGATGAAATTAACCAAAGCTTGCACTTAATCTGAGAAATAGTTACCGTGCACTCGGGCGGGCTGGGGCTCGATTCTTTCATTCTTTCATCTTCAAACTTTTGCCACATCCCCTTAATGTCAGGAGTTCGTATGTAACTGCCCCCGACCATGTTATAATTTTCCACTAGAGCCGTAAAACTGCCTTCCATTGATTTGCTCATTTCAGTATTCGCAGGCTGCTCTGTTTCTCCTTTGCTCCCCCGATCTGCATCCTCGTGCTGCGTTTCATCAAACGACCAGCCTTCCCTATCCAGAGAGTTTCCCATGTGGCGGTTTTTGCTACTGTCAACACATTTCGTATTCTGCTTCAGTTCAGAATTTGCATGGGAAGTCGAGTGAGGTAATTCTGCAGCGTTCTCGGCATTGTCATCTTTAGCTAAGATAATTTTCAAGACTTCGTCTTCTGATAAAGCCACGACTTGACGTAGACTTGATGTCTGTGAGCCAAAGGACATGGCTGAACACAAGGAGGCGGTATCAGATACTTCCTCTTGTCCCTGCAACTTTGAATCTTCCTCGATTATCATTGCAACGTCGTCGCAGGGCGCCAGAGGGGTATTTTTCAAGGTTGGAAACCAAATTCCTGCCCACACTAAGCTTTGCGACGGCCAAGTGTTTAGGAGACTTGAATTTATGGGCATTGTAAAAGTTTTGATTCCTTCGACACCTTCAATAAGTCGTTGAGCGACATCCAACATGTCATTGTCCCGGATAAAAGCAGTGGGATTATAATATGACTTCATAGCCGACGCATCCTGGCGAATAGTCAACAAGTACGACGATAAAAGGCAGTCGTTCAGAGCTATCCTTATCCATGCTCTGCAATATCCTACTTCACTGGTTATTTGGGACAAATGGGTGATCTGAAATTATGTGTCTTACTTATGGGGCTTAAATTCATTCGGTGGGTGGAGGACAAATACCTGGTCTATGATTTGTTTGTGAGATATTATGAGAAGCGGGGCCCAAAAATCAGGAGGCGGGGGCCTCTCATCCAGTCGAGCCATAGCTTTTCTAAACCTATGTGTCATAGAGTCTCTTAATCCATGTAAGAACACAGCTTCGACAATTGTGCAGAACTCATTAGCTACATCCGTTACATCAATGACTTTGTTTCCTTTCCCTTCTTCTATACATGCATATTGAATCTCCTTGATGGTGTTGGACAAATTCGAGGTAATGGATTTTTTAAGAATGTCATCCTTGCCTCTGCTGGGCGAGCGGCCGCTTTTTAAGAACTTATTCATTTTTGTCCATTAGTTTAGTCACATATCATCAAACTTTTAAGATCCAGCTTCTTAACTCCGTGAAATTCTTCTTCAAGGTTCCTTGGAAGATTTACTGCAATTTTGATATTAGATTTTTCCTGTTTTATTGCCATTGTTAGTAAGGACATGTATCTGTCTTAGCCTTAGTTAAACTTGCACGTACAACACTACATATTACTGTGGTATGAGTGGTGGATGAGACACTCAATCAAAGCTCCAGTGGGTAGTTGGGTTACATGGGGCCCTGAATTTAATGTACGCATTTAAAGAAAACTAGAGATTGACATGCTTTTTAACAGAGATATTTTGCTAGATTGAAGTTAGTTTGATGCCCTGTCTTGGCTAGAACAGGGCCTGTTTGGCAAAAGAAGGTCAAATATGCGTTATAAGGTGCCAAGAAATAACCTTAAAATTTGTGTTCGTGCAGTACCTGTCCTTCCGAGCCACAAATTGCTCCAAACGGACAGACTAACTGCAATATCGGGATCTCAATTTTTTGGAAGAAAGAGAATTTTTCAAGAACAATAACTAGAAAAATGTATAAACTTAGCTATTATTTGAGTGTCTTATAACGTGCTTATAACCACTTATAACAGTCACAATAACAGTTGACAATACACCATATACGTCACTTATCCTAATGCTAAAGCTTACAGCGAAACCTGCGAACGCACTCCTTAACGTGTTGGTGCGATTCTTTGAATCTCACAATATTTATGACAGCAATTCGCAGTTTCATTAGCTGATAGAGAAGCTAACTCACCGTGAAATTGAATTTGTTAAAGCTCAGAAAAAATCCTTTTATGTTGATTGTAAAATTACGCTTTCATCGAACTGCAGGCTTCACATTTGCGATCGTACGTTCCAAATCGTTTGTTCAAAACCGACAATCACTGACAACAAGTTATCAGTGATTTTCTATAAACGCAAAAATCAGTGATAATTACTTTTTGCCGATAGTGGGTGGGTGCGTTCTTCCAATTGTTTTCAAACTTTCAAACTGCGATGAGATACTTTATTAACGCGGTACGGTTCGACCGAAGACACTAAAATCAATAGAACCAGAGATAGTAGAACTGTTGGTGAAGTAAAGTGGACACACTCTTAATGTATGAATAAACGTATATTGATAATGATAAAGAACAACACAGTACAAAAGTACTTTCCGAACACGAAAGCGATTCTGTATCAGCAGCGATTTGACGACGACTGACTAAAAATGTTGCTCTCGCGATAAACAAAAAATTATGCAGCCTAAACAATATGACTTTGTGGTACACTGTGGTCCATAATATATGGCTGAACTTATATTGATAATATTAAAAGCATTTTGATTATAGTCTTATTCTAACAAGAACCACTAATCTGAGGTTCAACCTGTTCGTTCTAGACACGCACAGAACCGCGAGCAGATTGTCGGTAGTTTGATTTAATGTCTATTATTTTTGAAATTCGTAAGTTTTCGGACTTGCAGGCCGTCGTAGAAAAGAGTTTCTTCCTGACGAGCCCAAGAAACTTACCAGTTTAAGCAATTGTGGCGAAAGCCTAACTCTTTCCGTAATCAAGTATGAAACTGATGAGTTTTTGGCTTCAAGGCCGTTGTGGAAAATAATTTCTTCTTGACACTTGCATCTTCAGAAGTGGTGAACGAAATGTCAGGAAGAAACTCTTTTCTACGACGGCCTGCAAGTCCGAAAACTTACGAGTTTCAAAAATAATATGCGCGAAAAACTCAGCAGTTTCATGTTTAGTGATCATCCTCCGAAGGGTTTCGCTCGAAAGCAGACATTGGATTGATGAAATCAGCCTCCGCTTTTCAATAATTATAAGACAATAGTGAAAAGCAGGAGTGTCGGCCGTTGAAAGTCTTGTGGGTGTCTTTCATTTCATCACTCGTTTAAAATTTAACAATGCATATGGCAACTGAGAGAATTCAAGTGCATACCCGTTCGTCAGAAAGAAATTTTCTCATGATCATATGAGTAAATCATCACAGAAAAAGTGTACGTGTATCGTGGTTAAATCTATGCTGGAGATTTTGCATATGTTCATTTCTGTTGTTGCATGAATTTCAGTTTTGCAGAACAGTCGTAGCACTATAAATTCTATCTACTCTATGCTAAAAAAATTGCAATTTATTTTTTTTATTTTGGAATTTTTTTAAAAATCGCAAGGTGCAAATTTTTTAATTAAGAGTCGAATTTAAGCCAAAATGTCACTTTCCAATAACATCGTTTTCGTATGTAGTTTCGGAGAAAATGGAATTTGTGGTTAGAGAGACTAACTATTATTATTAAACTGCCATCCACATTATTTGGACATTTATTTGCCCATAACTCCGCAACTGTTCCATCTGCGCATACCTCCGTTCTTTTGCTCGTAACGTCGTTAAATGTCAAGATATTTGAAAACTTCCAAAACCATCAAAAAGCTCGAAGAAGCAGTTATAAAAACTATTCCAGCCTCATTTTCGACAACGGCAACAGAAGGGAGTAAAACGAGTTCGAACTCAGAGTCTGCAAACACTTTAATGCCGAATAGACGATTTTCCACGCAAAATATTGTCAGTCGGAAATTTTCAAGGGCATTTAAGGCCGAGTATCCGATTTTTTGAAAGAATATAATTTTTTGCCTATAGAGGCTCCTCTTTTTAATTGTGGTTTTGCTGTAAGTGTCTTTTTTTGTGTGTACATAAAAAATAAAGTAACATTAAATTGCAGCTAAATTTCTCGATCGAAAGGGATCATCTCTAAATTCAATCGAATAATTTTGTTTGTTAGATTGAGCCGTTAGCTCTAAACTGCCTTTCTTTCATCACTCATCAGTCATGCTCTTAGCGGGGTGACAATATTCCAGTTATAATTCAAATATTTACATCTTTAATACTGTTGATAACAACCGGTTAGAATTAAGGACAAAATCCGTCAATAAAGCGTGTCCTAAATGGGGGCTATATGAGCCCCCTGATGTTTGAGCTCAATCCGAGCTTGATCGAGTGGATTCTGAGAAATTACGAGAAATTCTGAATACATTCAGCATAAATATAATCATTTCAATAAAGTGCTGCAATGTGCTAATTGGAATTTGCGTTCAAGTCAGACAAGCGGAATACCGTTCGCGAACAATGGACTTAGACCATAAAAAATTTCGTTTTCTAAGGTCATCCATTAGGAACGACAAAACAGCCTCACTACACATTTTCTGAATAAAAGCCCGCGTGTTTCTTTAAAGCTCACAAAAAAATTTTTTTGATGCCTATCATTATGGTAACTGATTGGTGTGCCTAAGAGCGGTACTTAATATTTGGACCTTGCCTTTCAGCTCACTCCTTAGCAAATTTCTTAAATTTGAACAGTTCTGAAGAGGGGTGACAAAGGGTGGTGAAAATACGACAAAGAATTTTTAAATTGAACAGGTATCTTCGGTGAAAATCACCTGCAGAGATTGGAAGCGCAAGCGCTCAAACTGGGTAGTACCGCCGAAGTTCGTTGCACACTTGTTTGTCTTGCGGCTTGTGGTCTCGCTGTCTTTTGAAACTAACTAAGCGAAGCAGATGCGTGATGTAAGTCGAGTCGACCATATTTTCCGATGAGACAATAAAGTAGGCTGTATTTCATCTCAGCTTAAAATTTATCTGGTGTATGTGTTGATATGTTGTGAACGGTTGTGCTTTAGTTCGTTGGCCCATCGAAAAGTGATTCCGAGAGCAAATTCTCATCAGAAGCTACTGGTCGATTCTTTGGAATTTGGTAGGCGGTATTTCGTTACCTTTGGGTTTGCATAGCAAATTCATTCCTACTCGATCGATCAGTTAAACAGATCCTTCACTTTGTTATTTGACCTGATTAAAGCCAACCGTATTGTTTTTAAAGACCTTCCAACACATTTCTCGATAATATCATGTATTTTTAGCGGTGACAATATTGTTTAACTATTACTGCTGTTCCTTAAACCTATTGATCGCAATTACATAAAAGTCGCAAATTAAATAATACACCTGTTGCTGCACCCGCTGTTTTGTTAATTATTAAACTTAGCACGCTATCCTTGATATACACCATCATAAAATCGCTTGAAAACAAATAAATGTATCGCACAATAAAATTCTAGCTCTAATTCAATAGTTTAATTAGGTAGCACTTGACAAAATACACTTTGTTAACTATTCAGCGCAGATCTAAATGCCACTGTGCCACACGTGCAAATTTTGTATGCACATATATTTATTGAAAGTTAATGACTCTTGTCCAATTAAGTAAAAAGTTTGGAATTATGGCGCAACTTAGCTGAGCTTCAACACAGTTTAATACGCCATTTTCAAAATGTTGCAATTTTCCAGTCCTTAAACAGTTTCTTTTCGAACTTCACGAAATTGAAACACTTGCGGCAAGTCAGTGAAGACTAAAACAAATAAACCAATTTGAAAATAAAAATATGTTTTCAATCATCAGTTGAATTCAAAATGCACCTTTTCCTTTTGCTTTTTAATCGATTAATCATTGAGCTGTTCATCACTGTTCATACTCGGTCTATTCTAAGTCGAAGCTCTGTCGCAATTTCCTGTTAATAGTCTTTGACAAGTCTAAATTAGATTTTGCACAGCGAGGAACTTTTCTGAAGATGCATTGCGGGACTGCTCATTATATGGGCTCAAAATAAACCCAGTTGAATGACACATGCATTTCAATATATGAAATCTACTGTTTGGTTTTCTAAAAACACACAAAATGTCCTGTAGTATTTATGTCACCGCACTTTCTTAAAGAGAGGACTATTTTAAATTTAGACATAGGTTTTTTGAATGATTTCTTTTCCAATTAAGTCGAGTCCTTTCAGGAAATTTGATGGCATTTGTTCAGATTTCGCAGTGATTTATCGATAGTCAGCAGTTTGAATGGACCGTTTTTCTGTTGCAGTTGAAGCAAATTGTAATTGAGCCTCGAAATGCCATTTTCACGATACCGACCCAATAATTCCCCAATAAGAAGTCTGGACAACGGTAAGTGTAAAAAGTTGCCCCATTTCAAGTCCTCACTTGAACACGTGAACGCGTTGGGTATACCAATCTTTCTAAAAATGTTAATTAATCTTAAAATTAGGTGTTTTAAATAAAGTAAACAAAAACATGTTGGAACACTGATTTGTCAACAGCGGAAAAGGAAAACTAACGTTTTATTCGGGTTCCAGCCAAAGCAAACACACGTTTTAGTAACTGATACGCATTTTATCTTGAGATAAAATGGGTTAGCTGGTACACAGCTGGAAACTGAACACGCGAAAACATCATACATATTTGTAGTCGAAAATTTAAATGTTCGATGATTACCGTAGTGCCTTGTTAGGTAGGTAACAGGGATATTTAAACAAAAGTTCGATCACTCTTCGCTTGGGTGAATGAAATTACTGAAAAACCAAATACGGATACAGTAAACCGAATATATTATAGGTAGATAAGTATCAAGCGCCATTAAATGTGTTAAAATTGTCCACCAACTCGAGCTGATGGTAATGTTCCGTTTTCTGCACTGCAGGCTACATTTGTTGGTACGATGAATGTACTTGTTGTCCATATGGATACCACATTGATTTGGATTTCGTGCGGTATTGTGAATCTATCAGTAAAGAAGATCAAACCCGCACTGGATCCATCAAGAGAAGGAAGGACAGACGGAAACAACGACAGAGCATGGAGGTGATGTTGGGATTGGCAACTCCAACTCCAACAGACCAACAAGAAGCCTCTAATAAAGTAAATGACATTTGAATTATATATCCGCATTTTACTGCAACGAAGACTATTTTTAGATAAACTTTTCACAAGAAGCTCCGAAAATAGTTCAAAAACAAACAGCACACCCAACGTCACAAAACTTTCGTTTCAATGATGGTTTTGATGATGCTGTTTCTGACTTTGAAAGAGCCCTACAGCGGTCCAAACACAAATTACCGCATAATCTTCCGGATGTTACTGCTGTCTCAGGTTGGTTTGCACATTTAATATCAATTATTGCCGAATGACCAGGCATTTTATTAGCAATTTTGAATTTCATTCGCTTGTTGAAAATTAAGTCTAGCCAAAGGCTTTTAGATACAGGCAACAATTAGAATTTATTAATTCTTATCTGTCTAGAGGCAAAGTTAAAATTGAGGTGCAATCAATTTACCACCGGTATTAGCTTAAAAGGGTCAACGTGGGCTCGATGTACCTGCTAATTACTTTAAAAATAATAAAAACGGTCTGTTTCAATTTTGTTGCCCTAACATACAAAGTCTTGATCTGAGCGTGGCAAAAAACTCCAAACAGCAATCAATTTGTGTTTATTACGCCAAGTTTGGAATATATAAAGCGCTCCCACCTAGACGAGAAGCTTTCACATCAGACGGCTATCTTCATTAAAAATCATTAAACACCCAAACCTATAATCTTCTTCGATGAGTCAAAAAGAGTGGGCACTATAGTAGATAGTACTATTTACTGCCTTTCTAAAAGACTTGATTCTTTAAACGATTAATGTCGTACTGTTGCGAGTGCTACTTCCTGCGGTGGAGATGGAATTAGTTTACATTTCGGAACCATTTCATAAAAGTCCACAACAAAAGCAGCAACAAAGAACAATCGTCGGGCCATGAACTTTTAAACTTGCGTTGATCGGCCAACCCAGACGATTAAGTGCAGGGGCCAGTTCCAAATTTCCTTTAAAGTGTGTGCTTTTTATCGTCGTTACATTCGCAATCCAACTCATTTTCATGGAGTATAAATTCAAAATTACTCAAGTGTTTCTGATGTGCGTGTGGCTGATTTACTGTGCGGTGCGCCAGTTCGTTCTGTTTATCGATAATATTATCTGCATAGATATCTCATCAAATTATCTGCTCGATAATGTTGATCTTTACCGCTCTCCATGCTATCAACAGTTTCTGCTATGCCTAGAAAACTTAAGACGCCTTTCCTCCGTGTCCCCAACATCAGTATCAACACCACTCTTATCAACCAACCAGAATGCGCCCTTAAAATCACAATTCGACATGGGCAACATCGAGTCCTGCGGTCTGAGTCCGGCTGCTCTTCAGAACATCAGGGAAGCCCTGGCTCTGAGTCTCGACAGAATGAAACAGTTGGAATTCCAAGTCAAACTCATACCAGATCTGCAGGTATGTGCCAGTTTTCCAATCATTTAGTTTCGCTACTCGGAATTAAGGCAAATGATGCAAACCACAACAATGCATAAAGCTAAAACGTAATTCGGTACTTCGTCTACTTTCACATTGTTGCAATCGCTCAGCGAATGCCTACTTTTTACGCAACAATCGTTTTGAAAAATTCGATGTAATTCTTAGTCGAAATTGTGTTAAAAGTATTAGCTGATTTTAACTGAATTCAATAATAATGGAAACGCGGATTCGTCAAAAGCTTTGCGCACGGAACACTTCTTTTTTGGGTTCTTCTATGTAGATTGATCAAAATTTTCACTGCAGTAAATAAAGTTCCCCGATGTCTTGAAGCCAAATGGGGCCTGCGGCAAACATAACATTTTCCTATCGGAATTACAGAAGTTAGATGCACAAAGTGTCTGGATAATGAATAGCTCCCGGATTACTAAATAAAAAAAAATCAATATATAAAAGGTCACTGATCGTTAAACTCCCATACATTCACAACATTGGAACAACAAATTGCGAGCCCGAGTTTATTGCAAGTACTCATTTCCTTTAGATAACTCGCAGTATTATTTTCATGTCGCATTTATGGCTTCAAGCAAACTGAAATTGACTGTGGCCGGTTTCCGCATCTGAATGTGCTCAAATTAAGCAAGTGAATATGTTATGTTAGGAAGCCCCTTATCGGTGTAACCAAGGATGGGGGCCTCATCGGTGTTCAGAATACATTGGCAATTCTGATGTTCAGTTTATAAGAAATCGTCCATTATTAATAACCACACCTATTAAGCGATAAAAAAATACGCAAGGTAAGGCTTTGATTTTTGAAAAAGGATTATGTCTGTACTTTGCGCAATGACAAAGCTGAACGTAGCCACTTTAAGGGTTGATAAGGGGTGAGTTCAAGGGAGGAAAGAAGCAGTTATATCCACATAACCTTCTGTAGTTGTTTAGCAAAAAAATCAAAGCTGTGCATGTGATAACGACGCTAATTTAGACTTTTTTCCTTAGGATGAATTGAAGCACCTACGTATAGAAAATATCCGTTTGCAACGCGAATTAAAATTGGGTCAAAACTCAAAGATCTTAAATGGCGGTCACATTATACCTGAAAAGAACAGAAAAAGGTCCCAGAGCTTTACAGAAATTGAAAGCTTCGAAGACAATGTTAAAAAAGAGAGTTCTCCTTTGCCCCGCAAAGACTTCGGTGTGATGTGTGGGGTATTAACTCGAACCATTGGGGTTGGACATCAGTACCCCAATACGAAGCACGCTTCTACAATAACAACTGAATTTGCGGACAAATGGATGCCTGAAAAAGCGAAATTCCTGAATTCGCAGCCTTTTCTCAGTTCCAAGATCACCATTCACAAAGGAACACAAACCTTTTTGGGTAAAGAGAAGAGAGATATGGGCATTCAAACGTCAATTCTGCACCCAACAAAAATAACCGTTACTGGTCATACGCAAACAGATCAGATAAAACCGATTGTATCTCATGTGGGGTCATTGGCAGTTCCAAAGAGTTCAGAAATTGGAATACAAAAAAATGTCGAATGTTTGTCTGTCGGCACATCCAACGATGCAATTGATGATGTAATTTGTGAAAAATGCAGAGCATTGAAAAAGCCGCAAAGGAAAAATGAAGAACTTAGTACACCAGTATCTTTAGCGGCGTTAAGCAACAGAAGTAAATCATTTAGTTTAGGAGAGGATCGACTTGACCACCAAAAGCGAACTCGAACGGTAGCATCACAATATGAAACGAATTTGACTCAAATAAGCAAAGCCTCTCAAGTAGAATTCACCACTAGATCGAAGTCGACACAGCATGATATTAAAATCGCCGAGAAAAACACTCAATATGATGTTTACACATTGTCCAAGTTTACTGACACCAAAGATCTAATAATCGCCACAAAACCGGTGTATATAGAGAAACCACCCCCGAAAACGGTAGACAGAGCGAGTTCTCCAGTATTTACAATCCAGGAAAAAGAAGTATCGGAGGAGAAAAGTTGTGATAAATGTACCAGTAGGGAAATGGAGACTTCAAGAGAATTTAAGAAAGACTCCCTCGGAAGCCCAACTCCCAGTCGCATTCCCATTCCTACCACGCCAATTGAAGCCAGGAAGTTTAGGCGACAAGACACGTATACGAAGATATATTCGCCTACTGAAAAATCCCCAGTTGCATCTCACAAGTAAGTACAACTCACTTACTTCAGATATTTGTGGTGCATGAGATTGCGAGTGATAGAAATATTATCTCATGAGGAAAACTGATATTTCCGACCTTGTAGTGTGTGAGTTCACAATAAGAAAGATATCGTTAATTACAGACAGTGACCGCTTCTGAACGGTAGTAAATATACGAAGCCGTTAAAGAAAAATATTTATGACAATCACTGAGGAGAATCTAGCGTGGTCGCACAAAGAAAAACTGAAAATGCATCAACTAATATACGAGCTCCTCCAGAAATTTGTTAGCATTTTTCAGCCGGCTCAAATTATTTTGGATCTGAAGCATGTTTTTCCACAAGCTCGTATATTATTTGATGCATTTTCAGTGTTTTGTCTTGTCCAACCACGCTTTGTGCATATTTTTAACGGTTTTATATGCAGATGTTAAATAAATTTTGATGTGTTTTTGGGTGGCAAAACACTTTTCAACAAACTTTTCCACCGCCGCCTGTAGCGAAACGGATTCGAGTAGGGCGAAAAGCGCGAGCGCGACTAGTAAAATCATTATTGATGAGGGTAAATTTCCCAGTGGCCAAACAATGCTTTTCGCGTCCTGAGCAAAATTTTGCCGCCTGCTTTTTGCTATGACCTGAATTTTGCTATAACTTTAAGCGCTTATCCGAATGTTTACTACTTCGCAAAATTTCGACCAAAATGCTCAGTGTTCTTACATGCACCAACATATCCTTTTAACTAGGTATAATTCTTAGTGAGTGTTGTGTGAACTTGAACTGGACATTTTTTTTCTGGCTATTTAATCATTAAACTCCTCTTTTAAGCATATGCAAACATATCTGATCTATATGATAAAATGATCTATTTCAGACTATCAGGTTTAGATTTATCACCCTCAAAAGCTATAAGCGCCGAATCCGTAAGTCCATTCGACAAGGTGAAACAAAACTTTAAGCTTGACCCGCCAGCCAGTTCTTCCAGTCCAAAGCTGCAAAAATCTCAATTGCCGGAAAGATCACTGCCAGTTTCCGAATCAACAATCTTCCAGCCGCCATCACAAAATCGAAAAAAGTGAGTAGGTAAATTTGACTCTGATTTTTTACCGTTGGGTTTTGCGTTTTCAGAGCCGTTCCGAGCAAGGAAATGCAAGGAGCCTTGAAAGTGCTCAACGACTCACTTCATAAAAGCCCATCTAGAATAGTAAAGAACCAAAGCGCAATTAATATAGTACAACAAGAGTGGTTTAAAATTTCAAGCCTAGTTACGGCTAATCCCCAGGATGTTGAAGATTTCTTGGACGCATTCGAGGATATGTCCTCACTTCTTCTCCAATATGTGGTAAATATGACCGACGTGAGTGGAAATACCGCTATGCACTATGCGGTATCGCATGGAAACTTCGACGTAGTCTCCATATTATTGGACTCAAAGGTTTGCGATATAAACAAACCGAATAAAGCTGGATACACCAGTGTGATGCTGGTGTCGCTATCGGAAGTTCGAAGTCCGACTCACGCGAATGTTGTTAGAAGGCTCTTCCAACTGGCAGATGTAAACATAAGGGCTTCACAGGTAAAATTCACATATAGCAATTTTCGAAGAGGAAATCAAGTAAGTTAATGGTTTTTAGTATGGACAAACAGCTTTAATGCTAGCAGTAAGCCACGGCCGAATAGATACGGTCAAAATGCTGCTGGAGGCAGGCGCAGATATTAACATTCAGGATGAAGATGGAAGCACTGCTCTCATGTGTGCTGCTGAGCACGGGCATATAGACATTGTTAAGCATTTCCTTTCCCAACCGGACTGCGATTCTAGCATTACTGATGTGGTAAGTCCTCACTATTTAATTGCGATTTAAAGTAAGTCTAATTCATTTTACAGGACGGCAGTACAGCATTGAAAATTGCAATGGAAGCAGGACATCGGCACATAGGCGTGCTTCTATACGCGCATGAAAGAACATTTCAAAAATCTCAACCCTTGAAACTGAAAAAGACCAATTCTCTCAGTCCAAAAACCCCATCCTCACCATTACCTATTAGGAGTAGTCATCGTGCCTTAACTGATACAAAAAAATAAATTTTAGAACTGATTTTCAAACTACCCACGCCACCGATTTGTTTATCTCAACATGCTCATCTTCGAAGTATATTTTCTGAATAATACACCATACCATTTTCTAGCAAGTCTGCTCAATGGTTCTACATAAAACTTGGACAATATCTCAAATGGGAGTAATGCGTCAATTTGTTGAGAAATGGTTTGCTTAGACAAATTTAATTGTGTCATATACCTACATTTTGTTACTTAACTATTGTTAAATAGTATGATAAGGAGTCTGCAGTTTAAAAAAGATTTAACTAGTCTAAGCGAAAAGAAAACGAAATCTAGGTAGTTTTGTATATATTTACCAGTTATACACCCTAATCGTTGTTACATAATTTTTACTAGAAAAGTTGTAATTCTATCACAAGTTTATTTAACAAACTAATTTTTATGTGAAGGTTTTGATAGAAACACTGTCTCAATTATATAAGTCCCGAATTGATGATGAATTTAGTGTTAACATTCCAGTATACTTACTTTTACATGTTTTTCTTGTTGTAACATATTGTATTTTTTGTCAATAATATATATTTTAGACAGTCCGTCTGCCGGTTATTTCTGGGTTGGTTTCATATATTTCTTAGCTTGTGTCTTCACGCTCATCCACAGAAAAATGATTTCGTTTTTTAACAAGCCGAACTGACAAACTGCTTTATTCGAAAACCTTCCACAATTCCCATTTTACTATACACTACACAAAAGCTCGATTTTAGCCACAACATGTATCTCCTGGATTTGTTGTAGGCAGCTAAATTTAACTGTGAGTGGGCAGTGCGTTCGCATGTAAAGTAGGTACTCAGTACAACAAAAAAACATTATAATAAAGAAATTGATACACTAATATACAGCAGACAACGATAGTGGTGGTAGGTGCCTACTTATATATTGCTTAATGAAAATTCTGTAGTTTCCCTTATTCGGTTTTCACTTTTTCCTCGCCTATAAGTTTGGACTCGATATCGGCTAGCGCCCATTGATGGTCTACTATTTCCAGAGCTTCCCATTCAGCTTTGAATGCTACTTTGGGGTCCGGAGGCATTGCCATGGCTGCCCCCGACATCTGATCCTGCATTTGTCGCGACTGATCGGCAGCTGTAATTTTATAACTGAAAAACTGTGAGCACAGATTATCACTCCAATACCGTTGTTTTCGCCCAACACCAAAGCGTAGATGCTTCTCAATCCGAATACATTGAGGAAATACCAAGAAGCCGACGATACCCATGACGCATCTAAATGGTTCAGTTCGATTCCTCTTTGCAGCATGGACTTGAATCTTAACGTTAGAGGAAATGGTACTTTGGCTGAATAGAAAAGAGGGTTTTTATTTAACGTCTGGACTTGTGGAGGATGGCGAGCAGTTGTTACTTGTGATGAAGCCGGAGAACATCCAGTTAATCCAGCCCCCGACAACAATCATCGGGAGGACGTTGGTTAAATTGCCTTTTACCATGTCTGTCATCATTGAGGGGTCAGTCATCATGCTTGAAGTAACTGCGGGTCTTTGCTGGGTCAAATAACCATCCTCTTCCCTATTGAAAACTTGTCTTCGGGACAAAAATGCAGCTTTTGGGATGTACTTGGCATTTTCCCTGAGCAGTCTCGACCTCAGAATCAACTGACTGAAATTGATGTTTTCTTTTGTGGCCGCTGCATTTTTAAGCGACGGGTGACTTTACCTGTCTTGGAATTGCTGAGTTTCTACTTTCTTCTGGCTTGAAAGCAGTATGGACACATAATGCCTAATTATTCCTACCAAAAAGGTAATTACAACTATCGGCAGAAACACCCACACGCGAATTTGCGTGTCTACTATTAAATCGGCAGACATTCTCTTGATATGTCGCTGACTATTGTTTTCTTTCTATATTTCCAAATTCGAAATAGTATAGATTTTCAAAAGGTTAAGAGATCGGGAAATGTCACAAAATTCACTTAAAACCAGTGGCGTAAAGGATTTTTTTTTATTTACTAAATCTTCACATATTCCAGAACAATACGTATTTATATGAAAAGTTTGGAAATTGTCGACGTCTGCCCTTTTTCAATGTCAATAATAAAAAATTTTGTAGATCCTCCCTTTCCTAGCACTTTCAGTAGTAAAATTTGTCGCCGAAATGCGGCTTTTGGCCAGAATTGAGGAAACTCGAAAATAAAGACAAAAAAAAATTCTTCGCAAATCATCGCAGTTCCTAACACTAGCAGGTGGCGCAACGGGCGACGCAGGTGCCAAGTCCAACAGTTCATACTAGTGTTGCCAAGCCCCCACAAAACCGCAATCTCCACGAAAACACAAAATTCAACAAACAGTGAAAGGCAAAAAGTGAAAAATCCTTAAAACCATGATAACCTAAACTAACCCAAACTAAACAAAACTGACCCAAACTAACACAAGCTAATCCAAATTAAACAACTAACACAAATAGCTTCAAAATGCGAATAAGAAACATAAATATGTAGACGTGGCAACCCGGTTAAAACAATGAAGTTTTCCGGCCAGCGCCCTTCAGTGATACCTGTCACAGTCTAATTTCCATTGTTTTTCCGAACTAATTTTCTGGCCAAAAAATTATGCATTTTTGCCACAAAATTTTACTAACAAAAGTGCTAGGAAAGGGACAAACTACAATGTGAGTACTCTTTTATTATAGAAAGCCAAAAAGCGCATTTCTAGATAATTACCAAAAATGTTGTTGCCTTTTTGTACTGAACGTGTCAGTTTGACTTCGCATATTTTTCAAAAGTTTTAAGCGAATAATTTTTTTAGAACCTTGTTAAACGCTGGATACGCCACTGCTTATCGCAATCTCTGATAAAAGAGGCAAACAAGAATTCTGTAACTTATAGATTACAATAACGCCATGAGATGGCGCAGGAATGTCCAAATCTAATTTTAATAAATGTATTCAAACATTGAATTTGTACCTCTGGATCTGACGGTTTTTATCGATATTTGTTTTACTTATTTAGAGATAATAATAAGCATGTGTTTTGACCATGCGAAAACTCAATTCGCCAAAATTCGCCAATCTGACAATTTAATCAAAAAGTGCATAGGAAATTGCAGATTTTCAAACATTTCCACGGTATTAGTGATTGTTTAACTGTAATAATTATAGATCTTCGTTTAGTGTCTAAAAACTTAAAATCAACCGACTCCCAGAAACTGTCTCTGTAATTATTTTCCGATGGTTAAAGCATGTATTGAATGGATCTACTCAGCTTATGATTTTCACCACTTTTACCGTTTGAAGTTAACAATTCGGTTACTTTAAAAAAATGAGCTGTTTTCTGGGTCGCTGCAAAAGTTACGCAAAAAAGCGTTAAAAGTTTTTTAAATGCAGTTCATCCTCTACTCAGGGGCTGAAGAAAATCACCGCAAATATCTAACAGAAAACTTTCCCCTGCACGCTAAAGTTCAGGTGTAGTTATCGACTGAGAAAACGGTTCTCTTTCGGTTTAGTTGGCGCACTCTGTAAATAAACACTTTTTTAGCAATGTTTCGATAATTTTAAGAAATTTGTCTATAAGAAAATTGGTTTCAAAATTATTGAATTTCAACTAGTGAAAGAATCAACACTTTTCTAGATTCAAGCTAGAAAATGCTCGTTTTTTTCAGTTAAATTGCATATACATGCTTTTATTGAAGGTCTTTTGCCAACCAAAATCGGACAGAATGTCGCGATTTATTTGCCAGTGATCTCAGATACAATTTTGCCGAAAAGTGACATTGTACATTAAAAAAAGACTCTGAGATCAATTACAATTCGGTAATGGAAATCCAAAACGCAATATAAATTACAACAGGAAATTTTTTCATTGCGTCTAAAGTTTAAACGCATTGGCTGAAGTATACAATACAAGGCATTATGTAAACAGCAATTCTGTACATGTACGGAATACAATTTTGAGAACATTATAAGAAATTGGCAATTCAATTGACCCTTTGGTTTGCCTTCGGTGTCCGAACAATTCTTTTGTCGACGAAGAAGAATGAGGGAATTACACGCAGTACCAATCACCAATGCCATCTTTGAAGCCCGCACTTAAAAATTATTCCTTTGTATTCAAAATCGTACTGTTTTTATCAGCGACATATTCCATTTATGTATTCAATTACGTGGCGGTATTTTACAAAAACTTGTTGGTTTCAAGTTTTTTTTCGAAATTCCGATATATTCAGTTGTTTATATTTTTGTGCAATGGGGCGTTGACATTTTGCCCCCCTTTAAATCCCCTTCCCCCTCTAAATACTACATACATAAACGGATCTATCTAAAAGCTCTTCAATAATGTCTCTAATTTTGTTACATTTTATTACATAAATTGTTACTTGAGACGCCAATTTAGATTCTCTGGCAAACACGTTTTCTAAGCACATCTCTAATGGTACCTACTTATCCATTTGGAATTATTTTATCGGTTTACTTACATCGTCAAATGTAACCGACTTTTAATTACAATATTGGCATGCGTATAATAAAAGGAATAAAAAGAATTTATTTCAGCAAAAATATTTAACACTTTAAGCATTAAATGTTATCGGTTTTGTCTCTGTATATAAAATAAAGAACTCCACTTAATGTTGTTGTTTATGGTCAGTGTCGTGCGGTGTTAAGGAACCGTTTACTGCAAATTCTAATAAATTTCCTTCGGGGAGCAAGAATTTGTTTTCTTAAACAATTAATTCAAAAGGTCAAAAAATTTATTGGCGTCAGTTGCTTTTGATGTATAGACGTAGAACCTTTCCAAAAAAGCAATAAGGTCATGAAACAAATACTACTAATAAACTAGACTTTTTAAATAAAACGCGGCACTTTATTTGATGTGATAATAACACAAATGTCTGTTGCAGTCATTCACTTGCGTTTGTTAAACTGTCTGAGTTCAAACTTTATCGCATCGAAATCGACTGCAAATGAAGTAAAAATTGCCGACATTGTACAGCCTTTACAATAAGGAGGTACAACGCCACTGGTTCGGCAAATATAAACCGATGGTCCATTTGAAGCGAATATCCATCGGACAGTCATCCACGCCTACTTTTTTACTTGCATCTCCGTTCATTACTGGTAATTTGTATGCCAGAATCGTATGGTGCTTATATGGATAGGGGCAGCCATCGCATGTCCACTCGTTTTTTTTGCCATCCTCTATTTCCGCTAAAGATATTTCAAGTGGATACGGTTCAAACTGACAATACAATTTATTGTTTAATGACTCATTGTAAGTAATGTCTATGTGCGATTAAAACGAAGGTATGTTTCAATGTTTCACTTAAAATTTCTATTACTCTTCGATACTTCGTCGCTCTTTTGCAATGACCTAAATTGCTGACGAGTTAACATACAGTTGATTTTAATACCATTCATTCTTCGGGAATTTTCACATTCCTATACTTTCAAATAAGCATAATGATTACATTAACTGAATGTTATGCGGTGATATCAACACATACTGGTTCAATTGCTCCGGAGCGATGGATCCCCTTTGCCCATTCCAGTTGGAATATCACCTTTAAAATATGTAAAAAGACGAGTATTATCCTGTTTTCCAACCAGGAAGCGAGAGTTTTTTGTACGGCTTTGAAGATGAGCCATCCCGAGAGGGCACAACTTGACCCATAAGGTCCCCTAATACGGAGACAAAATTGCGTTTTAATTCGTGTTTAACTCTCTTTTTTGCCTGGCTTAGTACGTGCATTCCGGTTTTTATTCAAATTATTCATTTACAATTCAAGGAAGCATTAAAAAGACCCCACACCGTTAAGGGTGGCGTTTGTCATTTTCTACTCATCCACAATAAGTTTCGAATTTCCTAAGAACATTTTGACGGTTAAAATAGAGTTCCTTTCGCACGTTCGCAATTGAAATAGAACAAACAGGTGAAACTAAAAATGTACGTTACAAGTCCCACGAAAGTTCCCGTACAAACTCAAAAACCCCTTTAAGGCAACAACGTAAAATATGACCATCAAATCTAAATCGGACATTGTGAAAATTCTCACGAAAATAGCGGTATGTCACCAGAAAAACCTGTATGTCCAGTTTTGGTCAGTCCGTTAGGGTAGTTCAAGGGTCAAACTTTACGAAATATGGAGGGTAACTTTAATATCTAAAAGGGTTTATTCTCACGAATTGTCCGGCACAGATAAATAGGGTAGAATGGTCAAGTGAATTTGAAAGGCGCGCTTCTCATCTTCAAAATAAAGCTTTGGTCTTTGAAAACGAACTGGTTTTTCCTTTTCAATTCAGAATACATACTTTATACTTTGTGTAGCGGCCCTCGCGGTGTTTTTAGTATCAGTTTATCTATGGTAGGCCGTTTTTTGGGTTTCGGACTCCCATTACTGAACGCGAATAAGCTAAAACGATTCGTCAGAATTTACTAACAGAATTTATTTTAATTCACCTGGTGTGGCTTTCGTTTTCATTATCTCACTTTCCGTTGAACAATCAATAGAAATTACAATTGAACAAGTCGGTCTGGGCAGTGGTAGGAAAACAGCGTTTTACCACTTGTTTTGAAACGACCAAGCTTTCGGCAATTAATTTTTTGTCCTCATCAGCGCTAGAAAAATCTGCTATGGGAAATTCTCTAGAATTTTCAGTTGGCATGCACTTTCCACAGTTGGGAACACACGCTTTCCAGCCATGGTAAAACTGAGCGAAAAACGTTCTGTTTTCTTACCGCAGACCGAATCCGCAAGACAACTTGTTCAAATGCTCTTGTACTCATTAAGAAATAACCTCCTAATCGAACTTACCTTGTGAGCAGTTGGGACTTTGAAGTAAATCGGCAACTTTTTTGCCAGCGGAGTTTTCTATTTCATCTGGAAATTAAGAATGTTATTACTATATCTGTAAAGAAACAGTTAATCTAAGAATTGAAAAAGTTGATTCTCAGAGAGCGGGAATGGGAAAAGATATATTCAAAAGAAACTAATCCTAATACCAGGCTGGCAAATCGGAGAAATAGATAGAGCCAAAGTAAATAAAATTAAGCAAACTTCAATTAAAATCAAAGGTATTTTTTCGAATGAGTGAATCTGGTATAAAAAGGTAAATGCAGGTCTATGCATAAAAAGTTAAACATCTTTTGTTAAGACAACAAGGGGTTAGTTCTTCTAGGGAGGTCGATTATCATCACACCTTTTCATATTGAAAGTTTCTTCAACAGTTGGATTATATCTCAAATATTGCCGGGTGCGGGTATATGCCACATGATGAAGCATTAAAAAGGGGTGCATAATAATTATCTTGGTGGCATTTTTTTGCGCTTTCAGTTGTGAATATCGATGTATGTGAATTCTGGTGTGCTTTTCTCAAAATTGATTTACTGCTCAGCTATATCAGCAAATGTGCTTCAGAATTTTTTTACCAGCTTAATGGATGTAAATTTTTTAATTAATACTAAAAACGCTTGTAATAGTGTTTGAAAAAACAGACAGATCTACTTGTCTTTGCAGATATAGTCCGGCTAACGGTTAATTGTCAATCGAGAGCCACTTTCAATGGTGAACAACGCAATATATCCTTATTTGAGCTTAGACTAAGCGAAAAAACGCATTGCTGTGTAAATCGTTTTTGCTACTTTTGGACCATTGCAGAAACTATTTTACAGTTACGTGCAGAAATCTTTTGTTTACAAACGTGAATGGCATATACTACCATTTCATTTACTGCCACTCTTGTGTTAAGTACCAGCAAATTTAAATTTAATTCAAATCGTACATATGGGAGTTGAATACTTAAGTGTTTCTAAATACACTGAAAGCCAGAAAGTACTGTACGATTATAAAGTAACCACTGTTTGCAATGCGCACCTCACTCCTAATAGTTTAATGCGATTGTAGAAATAGCCAAAAAAGACTAGCAGAAGGTAGAAAAACACTATCAAAAGCCTTTCAGCTTTTAAAACAAGCATGCCGAGTTTCCTCGCAAAGCCCATTCGAATCCCATCGGGAATTATGTGGTATACTCCGAACTTTGAAAGGCCCAATTATTGTCTGTTTTTGTATTTTTTCAATAATTCCAATTTAGAGTTAGTTTCATTCCGGAAAAAAATCAGATTTTCATCCATAATCTGACGTGATTATTTCCAAAAAACGCTCGATCCTTCCATACAAAACAAATACCCCGACCATGATCATCATCTCTTTTATTTTCAGGTACCATATGATGGGATTCATTATGTATCGAATATAGACTTTCTACCTGTTTATTTTTCATTGGTTGCTCTCTCTTTGTTATGCTCGAAGGATGCATCGCGTCATTTCATTTTCACAGCTTCTCAGTAGTAAACAAGCAGGTCACTATCTTTCAGATGGACTTGACTTTTTATAGTTGGTATCTTAACCCTTTAGTTTTTTGGGAGGTGTACAGTCTTAGACAAAATACGGTGGTCCGCATGGAATTCTCTGAAGCTTTTAAACGATCACCTGTAATTTCAAGCGAAAAATGCGTGTAATAAAACGTGCACAAGTTTTATAAGCGACTTTCTTGAAGCAACTGAAGCGTTCGTTTGAGAGTTTATTGAAACGTTACTCCTGAAAAAGTTGCCTCTTCATAAAAAGTTTTTGAGCAAAAGTTAAAAAAAGTGAAAATATCCCTAACTAGAATAAAGCCAAAACAAATTGCTGTACATGTATTATGAACACGCAACGGCTGTAAGTAAGCGGGGTTTATCATATGGTCATCGTACAAAATATATCATCGCAATGGAAATTGTAACATGAAAGTCCCTCATAATTTATGTACAGGGTTTCCATAGTGTCTTGCTTTACATGCATGCTCGTCAATTTTTATTGGCCGCTTGAAAGCTTTCTACAATGTTTAATTTACGGCGCCTACCGATTCAATATCTCGTTTAGGTACTGGAAAACTGTTCTCGCAATAAACATGTCAACACTAACTGTTAATGGTTAGGAAGAATCAATATACGAAATGGAGATTCACAAGATAAAGAATTACAATAAATCAAACGTTTGGATTTTAAGACACACCATACCAATTGTGCGAAATGCCCGATTTTATACCGAAATATTTACGTTACTGTCTTACGCGCGCATTGATGTCTCCTACTAATAGGCTAAGGAACCTTTTGATCTACAACTTAGATTTAATTTTATTGGGTTTGTTGCTGTGAATTTAACAATTTGATTAAAGACAAATTGTCGTGTAGCACAACAATTAACAATTATTACGTCACTGCCGAAAAGCTTGGAACAAACTAAATTACACTTGTGAATTTAATTTGGTAATTTTTTGCATGTAACAGTTATTTAGACGTGAATACTGACTACGGAAACTGAGGATGAAGTGCATATCGAAATAAATTCGAAACTAATAAAATTGAATAATATCCCTTCAACGTCTGAGAATTCGATGGTTCCCTAGATAAAACGGCTTATTACGTATTCATCTTGCGACGTAAATTATGCAGACATTGCCATAAATCTTCGACTCGAAATAAACTCTTTCCATGGCTGTCTTTAAATTGTTAATAAAAGGCAATATCATAAGAATAGCAATAAATTACAGAAATTTAATATTTTGAATGTATCGAGGCATCGATACGATGCGGCTTTAATTAAGGTAATTGATGAGCCTTATTTGAAAACGGATATCTGTGTTATTAAAAAGGGTTCAGGTTTTTACGATTTCAGAAATATCAAAATAAACATGATATTTAACGCTTCGGTTACTAAAGGCGACGTAATTTCAATTGGATCTAGCATATGCATAAATGAGAATGAGCTTGTTCTGTAGAAGTCATGGCGATGGCCCTAAAACCAAAAACAACAATGATTCTCCGTTTCTTCTTCTACGTTACGTCAATAAAATCTGCTGCTAGACAGACGCAGACAGGCATGCAGACATATATTCCCATCTCTTTTTGATTACATCTTAAAGCGGCCATGATTTTATAAGATCGCCAGTGCTGCCCCCTCGCTCGATTCTTTGATGCTGGATCTTATATACCATGTGGTCGCAGGAGGATGAACATCATCCGAAGCACCACCGAGATGCTGCTCATTTGTATCTTCATTTTTTCAGGGACGAATTTGGCCCATTCACGCTCTGATACTGAACTGGAACATTCTCAAACCCTCTTTGTCTTGTTTATTTATATATTTAAGGAGTTTTCAAATGAAAATAATGGCCAGTTAACATTGTTTGGTTACGCGGGAATGTTAAGCAGCAAAAAATAGCTCCCTTAGTGAAATGCAATAACACGCCTATCGTTTGTTTCGAGCAGAATTGTTTGATGATGATGAAGACGGTCTGCGCTGGCATGGTTTGGGAGCTGTAGTAATATGTCGTGAATTTCTGGGAAAGCGTGGATTAATTCAGAGAAGTGGCCTAAAACTAGCACTGTTTGGGAACTAAGTTGTGGTTCACGCGTCTAGGATAAACAGTAAAAAATAAGCAAAATGTTAGCAGGATGACTTGTAAATGAAATAAGTATGTTTTTTTACGAGTATACTGAGCACGGTTCTGACGCCGCGAAAGGTTTAGAGTCAATCATCGACCATCGCACCTGTGGTTCTTTCTTTCAGTTAATACGAAGAACCTGTGGTACGGTAAGACCCGCTGGTGCGCACGCTGCTATATACCTGCGATCGGCTTTGAGTCGCTGTAACCTAACAGTCAGTAGAGTATTAGTTCGAAACACTTGTAGACGTTAGTATGTTATTAAACATTGATTTATAACTAAAACTGATAAATGCATGTTGCCAAAGAATAGTAGGAGAGCATGCATCTCTCACAAAATCGTCGTGTCGTGTAGTGTCGGCCCCGTGATCATGCCACCCTTGCCCTTCTTGTGAGACCGAAACGAACAAAGGGATTCGCTCGTTCACTGCAGGCCGCAGACGTAGGTAATACCATACGCATGTTGTTACTGCTCATCTCTGACTTTAGGCAATTGGAGCTTCTATCAGCAACACACTGTATACATATGCTAATCCATCTTGGTCGATCTCACTGCACACCAAATAACAACAGTCTGTTTACTTCCAGAGTGAGCAACAACCGGCTTGTTCGCTCTGCTCAGTCACACTTACTTCTATTCAATATTGAATGATTACAATAACACCTGTTATCCCAGGTTGACAGACCTGTTCATCAACTAATGCTTACTCAATCTTGAATGACGGCTCGAACGATCCTTCCAACTAGTTTGGTTCTGGTTTAATACGGATATTTTGCACTTGTTCTTCTAGACTTGTGCACCAGACAGATCGCCGGCTATCCCTTTTCACTGCTGCGTTCCAACCACAAGTTCTTCAATTTGCATTCGATTCTCTCCTAATGGCACTTTGCCATTAGGTACCAACCGCGCATTATTTACATTGTAGTCTTGTATTCTATGTAAACGGACTTTGTTTACAAATTAAACAACTTTTGACGTCATCAGCTAGTGCAAATATACATAGGTACCCCCAGTCAACGTGCTCATGCGCAGGTCGCTGTTTACATAGCAAGCCTTTCAATGTGTTAAATTGTTGCTTTATTATTCTCATTATTGTTATTATTCTTCTTGAAAATCATGAGCAGGATCATTCTTTATGTTCGCAATCTCGCTTGAGACTCACGCTGCACGACTGTAAACGTTGCATTGGGAGGTTACTGTCTTATGCGGGCATTGAAATCTCCTACTAATAGGCTAATAAGCCGTTTAATTTACAACTACCTTTGATTTTTATTTATTTAACTGGATTTTCACAATAAATTTCTGCCTAGTCTTTTTCTACAACATCACTGGCACATTAGTCGCCCCACCAAACCGCATTATTTGACCAATTTTTTTTTTCATTTAAAAAGTGATGGTTTTTGGGTCGGCGTCTGCATTTTCTGAACGGAACTTTAAACATCATTAATAAATGAGATTCTTATAAGTCATCGGTTGAAAAATTGATGATTTACGGCTTATTAGGCCGTCGTGTGTAGGAATTTCGTTCTCTTCTGATGTTAGCAAAACGACCGTAAACCCGCATTTTTTCAAACTATAATTTATAAAACTTTCATTTATCAATGATGTTCAAACGCCCTTCCATTGATTACAAGCGACAATTCAAAAGGTTGCTGTTCTATGCACGCATTGAGCTCTCCTGCTAATAGCCGTAAACGCTAATACACGGTTAAAATCCGTTCGTTTTCGCATCGTTATGATGAAATGTTAGAAGTCAGCTTCTTAAAAAAATTACAACCGACATTTCCAAGGGTAAATTTCTAATGTTACTGTCCCACAGAGGAAACCTTTGAATAAATCTCTGTTCTAATATTAATTGGGACTCACTGAACAATAAAGCAGTCACTCACCGATCATATTCAATTTCCTTATAAACGTATTCACTATTATTCCTTCGGATTCCAGTCATAATTAATGTTCTTATTAATATTCCATCAAAAAGTACTTAAAAATTAATTAAATTAAGTCAGTTGTAATCATGGCTATCCACATTTACTATTCATAATAACATTTTTTTGTTTGGGAGTGTGGAATCGAGATGCGATCGAAAAATCGTACGATTTATTAGGGAAATTATTGCGAATTCTCAAAATTGTTTGCTGACTGTGCAATGACGATGTTGGCAGCTATTTTCGAAGTAAAATTACAAGAAATTAGGGGGTGGTTATTGCACCAATTCAGTGTGAGAGCAATATGCAGGTGTAAAGTCGATTACGGCCAACAAAATGATCTTCATTAATTGGCCCACTTTATTGGCCAATAAATCGGAGAAACCTGCATAGTGAAATACCGGCAAAGTTAAAAAATCTGTTTTCAAAAAGTAGTGTCTATTACCATTTGAAATTGAAGAGTGGATGAATACTGGACCCTGTCTGTATAAATGACTCAGCACTCAACATGACTTCTTTTTATAGCCGAAAAAGCGTTCACGTTTTATTGGCTTCGGATTAGACCCCTGTCAATGGAATAGCTAGACACCCCCTGGTTGATACCACTGTTAAATAAATGGGTGCAGCAGCATGGTTGATGGATAATTCTCCCCTGAGGTTTCGTTAATTTTTCTACCGAGAATGTGCGGGTACCAAAGTGGTTCAGATTTTTTTTCTGACGCCTGCACTTGCTAAAAAGTCAGTCACAAAATAAGTAAAAACATAATACTTTAAGAGCTACATCAGACTTGATGGTATCCCTTCCATTACCCATGGGTAATTAGTTCGGAAAATGCCGTTCAACCTTAGATGTAATTCTTCCAATATAAAATAATCTAGCTCTATATTATATGATTGCGATTGAATTCATTTATTAGACGGCAATATTTCTGTCTAGAAGTCACACTGAAATAATTCAACAAAAAGAAGAAACTATGATTTATATCTGAAGGAATTTGATTTCAAAGTAGATTCTCTACGTCAATCGATTTACTGACGCACAGATCATCAGTTCCGTCATTTATCATTTTCTATAGCAAATCTATGAGAGTTGATAGATTTGAGTGAATTATTTCCCATTGAGAAATCCGTTCAAGAGGTAAAAGCCTGGTTTCCAACTGAAAGCGACTTTAGAAATCGCAATTACAATGTATAATTAATTTTACCTTGTACATATATGGAAGGTTCTGGCCTTCAAATCGCCCTTTTTACACGCATTATTACTTATGCCGATGAAAAACGAAAACATTGTTGTCACTTACACGTTCAGAATAAATTATTTTAAATCAAACCGTACGGCCAATAAGCTGTGACGATAAGCTATGACCAATCCCGATTGAGTACCACTGTTGAATTTTAATGACGATAAGTGGCCGGGTGTTAAATAAAGATTAAGAAAATCGGACGCCGATTTACTTTATCGAATTTATACCTTCAGCAGCATTTTACGGCTTTTGGAAATTGTCTTTTGCATAAACGTTTACTCGCAATTGACCAGGAGGCTCTCTGATAATGAATCAGAGGCGTTACCAGAAGGCCTTCTGAGTAAGTTGAGTCCACCTGAACAATACTCTAGAAATAATTCATAAAACGTCCAGATACATTCTGTTAAGGATCGGCTGCGCCTGAGCCGATGGAAATTATAATGAGGGAATATGCTTTTTTACGTTAAATGTGAATATTCTAATGTGATGCGATACTAATTATTTTTTAAGTATTCCACAGTATTTTCCAAGGAGTATCACTGGGTTCATTGCCATTTGATTAATACGCGGGAATATTTAACAATCTTGAAAAATTGTGGTCGGACCATTAGGTCTGTAGGAATTTTGTGATGTTGTGTGTGTGTGTTCCCTTCGCTTGAAACACCTGTGAAGATGATGGCGACGAAAGCCGAAAATATCATGAAATCATAAACGACTACAGCAGTAGAATTTCAGATCTCAATGACACCCATTATTGAGCATCAGTCAAATAAATATTCAGTAGCTGGTAACCCAGGGGTCAAAACTAGTTTGAGAATCATGCGTTGACTGGAGATGTACCAAAGCAATGCAATCAAATGACCTCGACAGTCGTTCCAATCGACCTGTTAGGTCAAGTGTCAGTATTTGAATGCATTAAGCATATTATGTGGAAACCCTTGAACGTAAATAACTGCATTTAGTGGTAAACCGGTCGCAACCACCCTCTGGCACGTGGATTTCTGGTCGAAGCGGCAAAAACTACCTGAAAACTGCATTCATATTCATTCACACCGTCAATGAACGGGTTCCCGCTTGTTGAGGTTCCGGTTTGCTATTTGTTACCGGTTCCGTACCTGTCAGTAACCCTCTGTACTCTCTTGCATAACTGGTTGGGACCGATATAACCCACATTAAGGATTTTTTCTATTGAAATTATGGGCTCGCGACGGAATAATCCCAGTGGGAGTTGTTTTATTAACTCGAAACCCCTGACGGTGCATATCATTTTTTTTATTTAAAGGGTCCATGTTTCGAACTATTTTCTGCATCATTGTTTTTATATGAATAATGAAATATTAACGTACTGTTTTTTTTTCAGACCGACTAGCAAGTTCTACAGTGCCCGACCAAAACAGAAGCCATACTAGTGCCATAACCATAATAATTATAGACATTTAATACGTAACGACAGTGCAATATTGCTTGACAGTGACTTATTTTCTGTGATATAAACTTGCCATATACGTTTCATTAACTATGACAAGACGCAGCATTGACAGCTCTTCCAGCCATTCCTCACCAATGCGAGATGATCAAGCAATGATCTCTCCTCCGCCTCGTCAAGTTTCGCCATCAGATAGATCGTCCCATCACGGAACACCAAGCTCACCATCGATGATGAGTTCAATGAGAACGGTTGATGTTATGGATTTGAAGAAAGAAATGGAAGAAGAAAGTGCCATGGGGAGGAATCCCTCTTATACTCAGGTTAAGACAGAAGTCCTCTACGAAAAGGAAGATGGGGACATATATGCTCAAAATATCGAAGATAAATCTGATACGCCCATCGACTTAATATATGAAGATGGCAATAAAACGGTTATATATACCACCACACCCGATCAGAAGGGTTTAGAAATTTACTCGGCGGACAATTCTGGAGAAATCACGATCAACAACATCGCAGCGCATCAGATTCAGGCCAACCAACATATGAGGGACGTTTTAGTTGATGAAAATTCTGGTGCGATGGTGAACTCTAATGGGCAAGCAGTCGGAAGTGCACAGGGTACGGTTTCCGTGGTACTTCAAGGGAACGGGCAGGGACTTCTTCAATATCCACATCAGGGCCAAATTCCTGGCGCCACCGTTTTGGTCCTGTCGGAGCTTGTTGAAGATGGGAATGGGGTTCCTGTTGTTGGACTGGCCAGGTAAATAATTCAACAAACTAACTTCACTGATCAAACAAGATAGGCTTTAGCGACCATTTGTTGAAACTGGTGAGTTTCCGGGTTTTTAGGCGATTACCTCTGACTCTGAATATGCAAACCCCTTGTGCAAGCGAAACGTCAGGAAAAAATTATGCTTCACAACGGCCTAAATACCCGCAGATATCACCAGTATTAACTTCATTTACATTCAAACTTTCTTGAATAAGAAATGAAATAAAAAATCATCATAATTCGGGTTTCGTTTATATGAAACCAATAAAACCATATAAATGCAAAAGTCCGAAATTGTGCAAATTAATGTCTCCACAGGGAACTCACAAAAGGTAAATATCATTAATAACACAATGGTGTGGTGTTATAGCTTTTTCGCTTGGCTGCATTTATAAAATTAAATGTCACAGACAAAATCCTACCTGCTAAACCAAATGACACTGTATCTTGGGGGAACCAAAGAGTCTGGGCCTTTTATCCGTCAATGGTACTATGCAATAGAAGCTGTTTAATATGATAGAAAATGATGTACGAGTATTTCTGGCATTAAAGAATTTCGGTAAAAATATTTTAGAGTAGGGGTACTTTGCCTCTGGAAGTTGTAGAGGCAAGTTTGCGCAAATTGCAGGAGCCCGTAAACCCACTTTTAACTTAGTGGTTATTATCGGTTGGCCTTTGGCATTTTAAGGCTTCGAATGGCCACAGTCGGCCATCGCAACGAAGCCAAGTCAGTTATTTTTATAAGCATTTAGCCTTGAAATATTTGTATGGGCCATCAGCTTAGAAAGCCGTAAAATTCATTATTCTTCAATTTATATTAGTTAGTATGTTTCCTCTTTTCCAACCGGTTATTTAGATACTGTGAATTTCAATATAAATATAATATACAAATTTTTATTACTCTACTACATCACTATAGCCGTTCAAATCTGTTTACAGCCGGCGTGTGATGCCAGTATCAAGGTTAATATAATTATTTTTAAAGATTTATCATTGGTCTCCAATTAGTATATAACAAATAAATAATATAGGCAATTCTAAATATTCACATGGTTGTAAACAAAATGTAGAATAACAGACGCAATATAAAACGTTGTCTCGTTATTATTGTATGACTAATTATGCATTAAAATTTCTCAAAAGTTCAAAGGTTCCAAAAAACTCTCGTGCAACAGCAATTGTATAGTAAAGATGCAAAAATAACGATTAATCAGAAACACTTCCACGATACCAAAAAATCTTTCAAAAAGCCCTCTCCTGGAATCATCAGACTATGTTTGCTAAGCAATTGAAAATACATTTTGGTAAATTGATATCAAAAGCAATCGCCATTCAAGAGAAATAAATTGGTATTTTAACCTGGACTTTTGGGCTCTAAATAGCTGTCAACCTTTAATTAGAGTCTCGGGTTAAATTTATTGTGATGTTTACTATCAGACCCCAGATATCGTTGCTTTTTATTCTTTCTTTTTTGAAACTAATGGCATGGTATTATCTTATATTTCTCTGTGACAGTCCATATTTTAAAGGTGCATTCGTCGTGCTCAGAACAATAATCGGGGAGGCCTTAGGGTGGTGAAGAATGACCTGAACTATGGATAATAATCAACATTAACCGCACATCATTTTATTACTAACGCAAATTTTAGATTCACCTCTGTACTAACACTACCTTTGCACCGTGGTTATTCATCGCTATTTTAACACAGATAAATTACTATACTATTGCATTCTGTAGTGAACTGGATATGTTTTTGGGCCCAGTCTTTTTAGCATTATTTTGATAATAATGAGTGAAAATAGAGTTGATTAACATCAATTTGCAGGGTTCTGGGAATATTTATAGACCATAAACTATCGTTAATTGTGTTGCTGTTATGTGAAAAAAAATTCTATTTGGTTTTCTATCTATTTCGTTCGAACCAGTGAAAACGTTGCTGGTGAATGGCACATATGATTCATTGTTTCTTCGCCCAGATAATAGTTAAACGGTTTTATAATAATTTCATATCAATGCCCATTGTGGTAGACTAATGACAACTATTTCAGGTTGCAATACTGGTAAATGTAAACGTTCCCCATATTTATTGTCACTGCAATTAGTTATAAATAATGTACTTTGGCTTAAGTGAAAAATGTCCAACTTATTATTAGCAGCTGAAAGCGCGGTACAATATATTACATTTATGCTTGTAAGTGAAATTAGTTTCAAAAATTCAAAATACTCAACTATTAATCTGCTTATCGAAAATATAAATCTTAATAAAAACCTAATGAGATATAACAGAATATCTGCTGATATGTATCTGACTGACCTATTATTGTGGCTATTTACATCATACTGGTGCACCTATTATGGCTCAGTTTTCCGATATTATTTGCTTTTCATTATTGTCAATGTGCAATGCGTAAGGCACAGATTATGTAAACTAGGAAAACAAAATCGAAACTTCTCTCTTCATTTTTCTCCAGTCAGTTCGGCATTTATCGATCATTTCCACCTGACAAACGTTACTTTCAAATATCAATATGATTTTTCTTTAAAGAACTTTTAGATGCAACAATTATTAATCGTTTGTGCCTAAGGCGTACAATTTTTATAGCTTTGCCACTACTGATTGCCGGATCGTGATTGAGATACTGAATAATCCGACTGGCGAATTAATAAGGAATTATTATTATTACCCCGTATTTTATATGTAATTGAGAATAGACGTCAGTGTGTAGACGGGGAATATTTCAAATATACTCTTAGCCCACGCAATATTCTAACGACGTAGCTTCCTTCGATATTAAAACAAAACCATAAAAGAGGACAGGTTGGGTATACCAGTGGCGTGGAAAATCCATCTACAAACCACATAAATCAAAAATGTTTGTTCGAGTTTGGTCCCATTTAAATACTTTTTTCCGCCTTTTCCTACAGTTTTTTCAAAGCGTGCTGAAATATGATTGAATTTGAACCTGGAACAATTGCAACTAGTCCAAATATGCAATCTGCAAAAGTGATGATTTACTCATCATTTTTAACCCGCTGTAGCGAAAAATATGGGCACAATTTAGCATACATATGCCAGGGTTCAAAACGACATGACCAGTTCCCAATAGAAAATGCACAAACCTTCCCTAACAAGCTATGAGTTCCTAAAAGAAAAGAAAAAGCCGCTGAAGCTTTTAAAGTACCTGGGGCCTGTAGAATTTTTTATATGATCTTGTCATGTTATTTGCCGTTAATTAATTTGGTTTCAAAATAATGGGTATCAGATCATTATAAATTGTAATAATCGAAATTATAAACCTAAACTGCATAGATCAAATAAATAGTGCAGATTTAAAACAATGGTATTGCTAGGGCCTAAATGGAACAATGCAATCGTTGTTGAGTGACCTGAAACGGAGGCTCAACGCTTTATGGATAGCCCCAGCTAGATAAACCTTAATTGCGACTTCAAGTGGGTTGCAATCTTTTAAATCTGAATGAAATAGTACAAAATGTCGAAGAATCAGATCACCAACACGTACCACTGGTGACCACTCCTTTCGGAGTAAACAAGCAGCAGTAGGCCAAGATAATCTAATCTACTTCGCTGCACGCAATGCGAAACTATTTCGTTTTTGCGAGTTGAAATAAAATCGTTCTCTTTGGTCGAAAACTGATCAGCTATTGCCTAAAAATAAGCAATTATCTCTTCCCTTGCCATGTGAAAGCTTCAAATCCGAATGCACATTTACCTACTGGCAAAAAAGCGGAAAAATGATGGATATTGAGTTATGGCGGATAATAAGCTAAATATGTCAGTGACGCTTTCTATAACGTATTGATTATTCATTAGATGTTAAGTTTTACTTCCTGTGTATGAAATCATGTGGAGCTAATCAATATGATTAACAGCAATCATGTGAAAATTTAATCAAGCAGTAAATGTGAAAATCTGTTTGAGGCCTCCCTTTAAACATCTACCTAACAAGATATCTACTTAATAATAGTTCCGTGTTTCAATTTCAAAACTTGTCGTTTGTTTTTCATCAAATGCCTCTGCGTATAATAAATATGTACGGCAATATGCGCAGTCAAACGAGAAATATTTTCCATGCAAATATCCTTTTTGACATGTGCATAATGGCGTATATGGCTATAAATTTAGGATCAAAATAACAGTGTTCTGAAAGTAACTGAACTCATGTGATATTAAACTGAGTGCGTAACTACATATTACAGATTCTTCATGACGGGAGTTCAGATGGCTCAAGGGCCTATACACTAAAAATGGCAGGCTTATTTTTCATTAACTTCGTGACTTAAGAGGTACCAACGACTTTTCATCACACATGACCAACCATTCATTTACCAAAAATGTTAACTAAACAAGTGGGTTTGTATATCAGGCGTGTCCTTACACACTGTAGATTTGAAGATTCGTTTATAGATAACTTTGACTTGCTAAATCCAACATACGATTAAGATAAAGAACTTGTGCATATTTTTCTATAGAAAACGGTTTTAAATGTTTAATTTTCTTTCAACTTTGTTGTGTAATAGCTTTATAATTTAGTTAGTAGGACAGTTTAAAGCGCCATTAATGATTTACACAAAAATAAAAGGAAATAACTGAAATATTAAAGTAAAGAACTGAGATATAACTTAGCTACCTGGGGTAATAAATAAACTTTATATTATATAGAGCGCTGCGTTATTACCTAATAAATCAATAATTCCAATGAACGCATTTCTGCATACAAATAAGTGTAAAAGGAAAGTTAATTGGCAATTACCAGTGTATAAGAACTGCAAAATAAAATGCTTTTCCATTTCTTATACTGATCGCTTTGGTTTACGCATTATAAATGGTTCATCGGAAATGGCTCACATTACCATTTCTTAATTATCCATCCTTTTTTGCTGGCCTCTCAGCCAACAAGTGTCTCCACCCTTTTTAAGTAAAACTAATAAACCCCTTTTTATTCGATCTCGGACATCTAATGGCAGT